CTTACCCTACATCTCTCTCCCATGTGTGCCTGTATTCCCCGAAGTTGATTTTGATTTCCATACACACCAGAAGTTTGGGGGCATGGGGAGCAGAGGCTGAAGTGGCTGCTCTTCCAGTCTTAGGTCTGGATGGAAGTGCTCACACTCTAAGGCAGTGAGGGCTGGCTCTGCTGCTCCAAGAAGAGGAGGATGCCTGAGGTGCCTGGATAGCTTCAGTTGCTTATAGGGAGAGAGGGGCCAGAGGCAGGAGAGAGCCACCCTGAGAAGGCAGATCTGAGCGTCCCAGCTCCTGGATCCCTTATCTCTTGTTCAGACCCTAGATGTCTTTGCACCCTTTACCAGAGGATCCTTTATCCTATCTTAAATTCCCTCGTTAATTCATATGCCCTTAAAAAACAAAACTATATAGAAGGGTTTAGTACAGAAGAGAGGAGGAGGAAAAGGTGAGGGCCCCTAGTTTTTCACCTGGCTATGATAGGAGAGCAACCTGGTTCAGTTAAGCCACCTGAGGTGGGAACCGCCCTCATATGTGTACAGTGTTTTATGATTTTTCCCAAGCATGCTCATAAATCAATTGTTACATGAGCTAATAGTCAGAGGCTCTGGTGTGCAATGATCTTAGCACATGGGCTGGGGGCAGAGGAGAAGAGTGAAGCCTTGGATGAGGATAGGCTCCTGTTTGAGCTGAGCAGAGAAATTCTTGAAAGCCAGATAGCCACTTCTCCCCAACTGATGCAGATTCCCACTCCCCAACGCTAATGACCCTGGTGAGTGAGCCAAACCACATCTCCCAGGGAAGAAGGCCTTGGTTCCTCTTCCTCTACACCACACACAGCATCCACCAGCTCCAGCTCCACCTTGGGAAATTCTTGTCTTCATCTTTATCTCACCTGCCACCATGAGCTGGCTCCCAGGGTAATAGAATATGTACCCTGGCATGTTTTGCAAAGGGCACATCTTAATAAGAACAGTGATGTATTTACAGACCACCCAGGTAGGTGTGCAGGGGGCGTGAACACATACGCACAATACTGCACCCTAGAAAGTAGATGAGCCCCTGCTAATGAGATAGCTCCTGCACTAGTGTTCACTTGTGTGACCAGGAGCAAGGCCATTTCTCTCCCTCTCTCTCCCTCTCTCTCTCACAAAAGAAATGGGATCTCACTATGTTACTCAGGCTGGTCTTGAACTCCTGGCCTCAAGTGATCCTCTACCCTCATCCTCCCAAAGTGCTGGGATTACAGGTGTAAGCCAGTGTGCCCAGCCCAGGCCCATTTTTTCACCTCTAAAATGGACATTAGATCACAACCTCAAAGGATTATAAGACTATGTACCTGTCAATAACCTAGAACATAGTAAATATTCAATAAATCATAGGCATTACAGTTGTCATTATTAGTTTTCAAAGGCTGGATGCATATAGCTCCTGAAGCTTGAAGACCTATGTGTGAGTTTACTTTAACATGACTCCAAATTCCAGAACAGCATTTGTCAGGCCCCACTTTGTTATTTACACAGGGCATGGTTACTCCATTTCATAAAGGCGGGTTTAAAGTTCAGAATGAAAAGCAAAAGGTAAGTTTTCTTATCACCTTGCTAGGCGAGTTGTTTCTCTACTCTGAAAGGGGAAGACACCGTAACGTGAGTTATGTGGTCAAAATCAGGAAGAACGCCATGCCTGGGTTTATACAGTAAATACTCTAGTAGCTGCTCAGATGCATTCTTCCGGCTCTGTTATTCTTGGAGAACTGTGGACACTCTGCTGTGTTTTAAAAAAGTACTCTTTTCATTATAGAGAAGTCTTAAATTGCTGTTCTCTTTTAACTAACATCTATACTTAGTTATCACAGACTTGAGAGAAACGAATGATACCTTACAGTAAGACTATGATTAAATTAGCTTCTGTTAATTAGGAGTTTCTAAATCACCTTTATCCCTCTGGAGAAAAGACTTGATATAAATAGGCAGTAATAAAAGTGGTACTATATTTAATTCAAATTGTATCTTTTGAAATTTAATTAATTTAGTAGTAATAGTTTTAAGTGAGCGTGTCAGAACTAAAGGGTCCTTAGTGACTTGAAAGAGTTAATGTAGCATCCAGAAGTTCCCAATGTACTCTTCAGAAGTAGCTTGCTCACTGAATAATTGGGTTTAACCAGCTCAAGTTCCCCTTTCCTCCCACGGGATTGATTCAGAGCAGGTTTTGAGCCATTCTCATTAGTTCTTTGGAGACATTACCCTCCATTCAGGCTGTAGCCTCTGAAGTTTATCTTTAAAATTTCTAAGACCAGGAGACAGACAGTGAGGCCCTGGGCCCTCTTTCCAGGCATTTAATAGAGAAGTAAGCCAACAAGATGGCTGTGGACTACATCCTTGCTGGACTGCCCCTGGCTGCCCGCAATACCTGTTGAAAGTTCCTTCTGAGTTGCTAAATCCCTTCACCTACTCATATCCTTTCCTCTTTTCATGACTGTAGAGGATACTTGAGCACAAGCCACACATAAATTTCATGCTCTCTGGAATGGGGTGAGTCATGTTAGCACATCATTATTGTAGCTTAGAAAAGCTGGGGAGTGTTTTATAGTATAGGCAGGCTTGACATGACCAAAGGCCTGGTAGAGGGTGGGGTTTGTGTGTTTGTACATCCTTGAGGTGACCATGGTGCAAAGCAATTCATCATGTCCTATAAAGTACACTGTCTAATGTGGGACTATTGTATAAGGCTTCCCACAGTAATCATGGGCAAAATGATATGTAGCACACCAAGTTCTCCCCTAACGAGACTTCTGGTCATGTAAGGTTGATAATAAAATAGAGAAGAGGATGATTATCATTTAAATGCATGTGAACTTACTGTGTGCATGCTCTTCATATAGAAAAGCATAGCATAATAAATTACTGCATAAACTGGTAGAAATTATTATATAGCTTTTCTTGATAGTTTTATAATTGCAACAGAGTTCCTTTTCAGGGTAGTTGAGGTTCTGTTTTGTTGCTCAATTTTCAACTTTTTTTTTTTTTTTTTTT